TGCTGCTGTGAGCAGGGCCCACACACGTCCCCGCTTGGAGCCAGCGCGCAGCCACGGCCACACGCGCTTGGAAAGTGAGGCCGGCGAGAAGGAACACAGAAGGCCAGCGCTAACTGCGTCCCAGTTTCTTTTTTATTAATTTTTTCTTTTTTTTTTTTTTTTTAAGTATGGAGGCTCAAGTATAAGATGTAGATTTTTTTTCTTAAGCTTTACAAAAAAACAAAATAAAACAAAAACCTCCTTTTGCATTCCATAGAAATTGACAGAAAAGCACCTGGCCGGAAGAGCGGAACTGTCGGCGGCCCCCCCCAGCCCCCACCCCGCGGCCTCCGTGGGACGGGCGAGTCTGCGCAGGACGGCACCGAGGGCCACCTCTGCTCCCAGAGCTGTCCCCTGTCCCCACGACCCCCAACCCCAAGCAACTCCCAAACACACACGGAATAAGATTTCCAGTTTTTCTTCTCTCTTTCACACACCACAGTTAGTTCATAAAATTTTTTTGTTTTACATTTTTTACACCAATGTAACAAAAAGGTGGGAGGGAAGGGAAGCTGGCAGACAGTGGATTTTATGCCTATAAATGGGGGGACGGGGAGGAAGACAGGGGGCCCGGGTGAACAAAAACCACATGGTCTCTATGGAAATGTGGAGAGAGCTGAGAGCGAGGTGTGGCGGAAGCAGGCTCGGAGCCGGAGGAGGGTGGCTATCGGCTTTATTCTCAGGGAGAGATGGCGCTGTGCAGTCAATGATGCAGCTGTTATGTGACCTGTCGGGGAGGGAAGGGACGAGGGGAGGGAGCAGAAAACGAGTTTTCTAAGAAAGGAATCTAACGAGTGCACGGCGTGTCTGGTTAGCATGAAGCAGAGGTTTAGCATTGCTGCTTTCTCTTCAAAGCCTCCACCAGGTCATTCTTCAGAGCTTCTTGTTTTGATTTGTCTGCAAAAGTCTGCACAGACCTGCAAGGGAGGAAAGGCGTTATCAGCAGATTGAACAGGGATTGGTGAGGCGGTGGGGGCCTGGGGGCCACCATGCCAGTGCCTGGCTGGTTTGCTGCATGGACCCACCTCCCGGGGTGAGGCTCTGGGTCACTGGGCTGGGCATCTGCCCCTCTCAGAGAGGGGTGAAGGGGCACATGGCCGAGACCTGCACCCTCTGCACCTTGCCAGGCCCTGGGGGGGTGGCATATGCCTTACATGGACAGGTGCTCATCTCTGCCCCTGGCCGCCGGTGACCCAGCCATAGTCACTAGAACCCTAAGTTCACTCCTCTGTGTGTAGATCCCCATGTCACCCTAAGCCACAAGGTGGCTTCTGGGCTTCCAAGCACAATGGAACAAAGTCCCTCTGCTTCAGAACAGCTACCCGGGGTTGCTGGCTGGGGACTCAGGCCAGGGGCTAAGACGTGAGGGCTCTGGTGCCATGTGGGTTCCTCTAGAAAAGCTTCCCCCTTGCCCAGGCCCTGCCCAGCAGGAGAGCCTCATTCCTCACCCCACAAGTGCAAGGTGCAGCGTTCTCCCAGCCCTGGCAGTGGGTAGGAACCAGTGTCTCTGTTTCTGAGCACACCGTGTTCAAGGCTCACGCAGCAGGTGCTTCAGGCCTCTGCTGTGAGGTACCACCCGCTGTTCACTTGGCCCAGAAAACCCCTCAGCCTGGACTGCAAAGGGCGGCACAGGAGAGCCAAGTGCCCCTGGGATCCCTGCTGTCAAATTCTGGATTTGTGGGGAAACGTTCAAGGTGACTGCATTCACGTATGTGTGGGGACACTCATCAACAAAGCCAGAAACAATGAAGGCTTGTGGAGATTTCGTAGTCTACAAAACGCCTTTCACATATATTATCTCATTTAATTCTTACGGGCATCCTGGGGTAGTCTCAACTATCAACCCAGCCAGATGTGGTGGCTCAAGCCTATAATCCCAGCACTTTGGAAGGCCAAGGCGGGAGGATCATTTAAGGCCGGGAGTTCGAGACCAGCCTGGGCAACACAGTGAGACCCCATCTCTACAACAACAACAAAAAAGAGCAAAGTCAAGGCTTTAAAAAAAAAAAAAAAAAAAAGCTATCAATCCAATTTACAGATCCGGAAACTGAGGCCCAGAGGAATGCCCGCTAGCAATTCTTTGATCATTTTGTCAAATTTACCCAACATATTGGTTAGGCAGACTTCCTAAAAGTAGGTTTTATAACAGTTGAGAAGCAGTAGAAGGAGTAGGTAGAGGGCTGCCCAAGAGTGCTACGGAGGGTGCACTCAGCTGGACTCTCACGTTTGATTCACACCAGCCATGGGAAGGAAGAATCAGAAAAATCAGTCCCCAAATGCAAAAATGGGTAAATAGAAGTGAAGCAGGGCCCAGGAGAAGCAACAGCACCTAGATTGAGTTCCGGCTACTGAATCCCTACAAGTCACAGGAAGAGCCCTCAAAATACTCAGCAGGTGCCATAGACAAGACCTGGAAGCAAGCTGCATACAACTGAGAAAACTCCCAGGAGAAACGCGGACATTTGGTTCATGCTGGGGAGCTACACGTTTCTGAGTATCTTCCCAGGACTGTCCCTGGCTCTGCGGCGGCCAAAGGCATCAGCCCTCACGACCCTCAGGCTCCAAATCTCAGCCGATTCCCCAGGGGCTTCTTGCCAAGCTCACAGCGGGAGGTCAACATGGCCAGCAGGAGATGCGGTGGGCAAAGCAGCAGCGCACAAGACCCCTAGCCTGGGTGGTCACTGGCTCTTCTGGGAAGGAAGAGCCAAGCCCATCAGGTCTTGGCTGGACTGCACAAAGGAGAAAGTTCCAGAGCCAGAATCAAGTTAGACACAGGAAGTTAGAAGTGAAATGGTGGAAGGCGGAAGGAGCAGGGGGCTCATTTAAGGGACAGAGCTTGGGAAGGTCACGGCCAAGCACCCTCGAATCAGCGCTTGGAGACAGAGCTCGCCTCTGTGGGAGGGAGGAGTCGTCCTGAGCAGACCTGGCTGTCAGGGTTTCTACGCCAGGACGCCCCCAGTGGGCGGCCAGGTAACTGCACCATCACAGTGTACCTTAAACAGGGTTTTTTCTCAATGCCACGATGGAAATGCCTGACGGCCCCACTGTGAGGCTGACCGGAGTCTTGGGCCTTAAGTTGGCACACACAGACTAGACTGGTGCACTTAAGTCCCACGGCCTCGGAAAAGCAGCTCCGCCTGGTTTTCTAAGTGCCTGACCCCCATCTCCACCTTGGAAAGCCTGCTGCACCCCTTCTGGGGTGGGCCTTCAGTGTGGAGCCCCTGGACCTGGACTCTGCAGCCCCAGCTGGCAGGGTTCCAAATGCCTTCTTTTACAGACAAGTTTCCCTCCTGCTCTCCAGGGATGCTGCCTCCTTCCCTACATCTGGATCTGTCACAAGCTCAAGTCATGGTTCTTGGCCATTACCAACAAGCAAGACTATTTTCCTTTCCATCCGCGGAACCTGTTTAAAGGAACAGCTGCAGCTCGTTAGGGGCGGAAGGTTATGCTGGTTGAGGCCGAGTCTGCACTGGGCGTCCAGGCAGCTCCAGCAGAGCATCGGGGCCGGCCGGAGTGGAGTCCAGCCCTGACTCTGCCCTCCAACCCCAGAGACTCAGAGATCAGAGCGTGAGGTCACCCCTTCCAAGCCAGCTAGCCCTGGACAGCCAATGTACCGCTGAGCAGGGGCTTATTTGGCTTCTGGGATCCCTGCACCAGCATCCGAGGATCCTCTGAAGCATGGGGAGTGGACGGCACGCAGACCCCTGCCCTGGGGACAGTCAGGCCGGTGCACACAAGGGGCTGCTGCTGGAGAGGCAGCATCCGTCCCTTGGCCTGGGCTTTTTCAGAAGCAAAAGCCAAAAAATCAGCCGTCTTCCCCACACCCAACCTCCGCCCAGAGTGGAAAGCGCACACACGTGATAGGTGCCGTGTTACACGGGACCGCGGCTACACGGGAATGCGGCTGCGCACCGGCCGGGAGCACACGTGGGGGTTAGTGGTGTTTTAAATGGCCGCGCAGCAGCAGCCGGACCCGCAGGGTCTCGGCGGGTTGGTGAGTCCTGTTTTAGTGGGGAGGGTCTCGCGGCTCTCAGGCAGGGTACCTGGATCGGCTTAATTATCAGGCTGGATGTAGATCTGGCGCTGGGTCAGCACTTGAGAGAGCTCCCTCTGCAACTGCTTAAACTTTTGGTTGTCAGGGATAGCATCAATAGATCTACAGAGAGTGTTCAAGATGAGTGGAGTGGGAGGGAAGAGAACCACGAGAAGCCAGGAACGCAGGGGGCCACAGCTGAGGAGGAAATTCAGGGAGACCCACGAGGCGGAAGGCGGGTACCGCCGCGGCTCTGGGCTGTAGAGTGCTATCACCGCTGCAGAGGCCCACGATGGCGGTGGCCGTGGTTTTCAGGGGCTCGCCACCACCACCCATAGGCTCTTCCGCTTCTCTCCCCCACTTCCCAGCCACTGCCTGGGGACTGTGTAGGTTGGCTGGGCGGGAAAGTGCGCTTGGTGTATTGGGCAGTGGCTGCAGGTGGCAGGCCTACCGCCAGGGACCACTGGGCTCTGATCCTGTCACAGGTCATGAAGACCAAACCTCCCCCAGGTGGGCAGGAGATCAGAAGACCAGGGTCCAAAGAGGAGGACTCCTCTGTTTTAAAACTGTAAAGCAGGCGACTGAAATCTGTCACCCACCCCAGTCCATGAGCTGGTGCAGCAACAGAACTGCAACCTGCCTCTCCTCTGGGCTGGGCTGTGAGAGCTACGTCACGGCAGTGGGTGAGAGGGCTGGCTGCTAAGGGCATAGCATGGCCCGACTCACATGGTGCTGCTGGACTGCAGAGCGTGTGCTAGATTCACCATCTCAGCCGACCCTGCCTCCTCCATCGGACAAGGGCCTCTTCGAGGAGTGCCAGAGGCCACACAGCTCAGGATGACAGAGCTTAGGGGAGATCCCAGCCTCCTGACTCCAAGGCCAGTGCTCACTCCACAGCTGTCTACTGCCCCCAGCTGGGCTCTGGCCTCATGTCAGAGGCCTGCCTCCTGCTCTGTCCACCATGGACCTGGAGGGTCCAGAGAGCCCCCAGCTTTTGTTCAGGCTGACACTGCAGAGACGAGGGCACGAGGTGGGTGGGACAGTGCAGGACATTGGCCACTGGTAGCAGAGCCCTGGCAGAGGACGTCAGAGAGGCTGGGGGCCCCCTGAGAAGGCCCGGGCTGAGGGCCCTGCCTGCACGTTGTGCTCTGCTGTCTCGGAAAGCAGGCCAGCCAGAGGCGGCCGGGCTGCCTGGGATGTAGTGTCATGGCTCCCCTAGGCCCAGGCTGGAGGGGCTGGGCAGATTTTTGAGTGGGGACTGACAAACTGCAGGGCTGAGGAGGCTCTGGGGGCAAGGGTACCAATGGCTGCTAGGGTGAACGTGCCCCAGAAAACAAACGGTACAGGTAGGGACCGACAGCTGCTACTGAGAGTGCAGATGACACACCAGGACTTTACTTTCCAAAATCACCATAATGATCATCCTAGAAGAGGGGCACTGCAGCCTGAAAATGAGAAACCCGAGGCCCAAGACCACACAGCTAGTAACTGGCAGAGCCAGGGTTCAAACCCCTCTTTCTGCTTCTAAAGCGTGTGCTTTCTGGTACATTACCTCAGCCCATTGACGATATCCTTTGTTTTTCCAAAGTAGATCTCGTTCAGCGTACTTCTGATTTTATTTTCCATGTCCTGGAAGGGAGGTCGGTCAGCGCCTTGGCAAAGGGTCAGTCAGGAACCCCTGAGGCCAACGCCCTCTCTCCACCCGCCAGCCCTGCAGTCCCCACTATGGCCACTGGAGGGCAGCACACACCTGCTCTGGGGCACGGGTGAGCGAGCTCCAGGCTGCCAAGACCCCACCTGCCATCTGTGCTCCAGGCGCCTTCCCGTCCTCAGGAAGGGAGGAAGCCAGTACCCAGGTATTGGCGGCCAACTCTGCCCATGCCTGGGAGCTGGTCTAAACCACATCACCGCCCCTCAGACTCCCCACTAATTTTGTGAACAATTCTGTGAAACCGGAGAGCACCTCCCTGCCTTCCCAAACAACGTGGTGACAGGAGGGCCAAGGCAGCCGCAACTGAAGCCGCGCCAGGGCCCACTGGCATTTCTGGGATCTGCTTCCTCTCCCAGCGCAGGGCCCTGTTCACACCCAGGCGATCAGGGGAGACAAGACCTAGTGCGCCCCAGAGCCAGCGCCTGAGCAGAGTCTTCTGGGAGCCCGGGTCGGGGGGTGGAGCAGGAGGTGGCCCTGAAGCCACAGCCTGCTGGCATCCAAATCAGAGGCTCCGAAAATATGAGGCCAGGGCAAAATCCAAGCAGCGCTCTGCCGGCTGCTGTGGAGCTGGGAGAAAGCAGCAGAGGAGGAGGCCAGCACAGCGGTGCCAGGGGTGCAGTGTCACTGCCGTGGGCCAACACAGGAGCCAGCCAGAGCCCCGGCCACTCACCTCTACCAGGCGCCCGATGTTGGCTATGTGTGGGGAGCAGTCACCCACAGTTTCATCTTTCTCCATCTGCAAAAGACAGAAACATTCCA